TGACATTTCTCTTCAGTTCCTACTTTTCTGTCATTGATCGGCGAGAAGCAGAACTGATAAAATGTGGTTAGCGGTTCACAGAGCCATGCACATGAATAGCTGTGGCAACAGAGTGGAAAACGGGGAAAAATTATGTTTCTAGCACTATAAATTCATGTAATGTTAAATGTGCATGTCTTTAATTAGTGAGGTGTATGGCAACCTCTAGTGGTATATGCCAGCTTAGAAAACAGCAAGCATTACATTATAAAGCATTTGCCTTAAGTAATCAGTCTTCTTTATGTCATTAATTTTATTAGAATGACAGAGTGATGAGATGTTGGCAGAGAGCTGTAAAAGATCTTTTCCTCATTTTCAAGCATGTCGCACAATGCTATAGTAGGCAGACTAGCTATAGAAGAGTCAAATATCACAAAAGCCTTTTCCAAACAGGTTAGAGGAATCAATGCCAAACTGAGGTATGACTTTAAGTGACACACCGAATTCTTGCACTAATATGCCAGTTAGGTGTGTAGTGTTACTTACTAGAAATTGTACTGGTAGAACAAGGCAGAGCCAATGAAGTCGACATGAGTAAACCTGTAAAAGCTGACCTTTCCAATAAACCAAGCAAAGGAAATACCTGTCCTCACTGCAGGTACGTAACAGCTCACCTGGTTGTGGTTTGTTGCTCAAATAGTATCTGGCTGCCTCTGGCAGTCTAATCGATTGTGACAATAACGACATCTACTCAGCTATTTTATAATAGTCTACCAGTATTATTTCAAGATACTACAGGTGTCAGCACTACACAAATAGGAGAGAGTGTCCAATGCAGATAATGCTCTTGGCACTGTGCTGATTAAATAGCTTCTGTATAATTAAAAACAAACCCTTCCACAATTAATAAGATAATAGAAGACAGAGGGGAGTGCTCTCAATATATATAAAGTCAGGGCAGTCTACAGTAGAGAACGTTCAACATTAAACGTGCCCTGCCCTACATCTGATCATAAAGCATCTATTACATCTATTTTTACTTCCAGTAGCTGCTTGTGATAAAAAGCTTTAAACAAATCTGTCAATTTTCTTGCCTGCTAGAATGTGATATAAATTACGTTATAATTAATAAACGTTATAAAGTTGTACTTTACAGAGGTTCTAGGTACCCTGTATTGAATATTCTCAGCTAACTCTTTCATAGAAAATAGTCTTCTTCATAATTTATAACAACTGGCAGTCTCTGCTCAGAACAGGATTAGCAAAAAAGCGTGCATGGAAACGGAACCACTTCTCACACGACGGAAGGAGTTATTAGAGCATCTGGTGAGGCCTGAATTATGACCATCTATTCACTCGTATTGCTAAGCGCATTTCAAGTGTTTCACAGCTATTATAATTCACAAAACTACACCCTAAAATACTTAGTAATAAAGTACTGTTTTCTTTTTAGGCTTTTTCTTCAGAGAAAACTCTTTTTCATTATGAATATGTGGTTTATTCCCTTACAGAGGTGCTCACACTCTGATGACAGAATAAATATTCTGCTTTGGGACCATAGAGCAACTTGGATCCACCAGTGAGCTTTGGGACCATAGAGCAACTTGGATCCATCAGTGATGGCCAAACTTAATAATAGTGACTAACAGACTCCATAAGCTAGGAAAAGGAAGGACAAAGTATGCCTCAACATTAATCTCTTATGAAATACACATGCTCGTAAATATTTATTTCTATTGCTTTTTTGATAACCTAGACTTTGTAAAGAAACTATTCATCTTGAGAGGAAATCAGTTTTAGAATACTTCCGTTGCGGTGCTTAAGCCTGCCTGGGAACCCCTGGTTGCAAAGCTCCTGAGAAGAAAATTCTACTATATTAGCAGTAAAACCTTACAGGAGAAAGGCTCCCTCTGGAGCTTTCTCCTCCTTCTAGCCTACCCGTGCTGCAGTCCCACGGGGCATTTTAGTACAGAATTTAATACATTTTTTATAGTAGGGTCTTTGGATTTATAAGCAATCACGGTCATAGTGACAAATTAAATCACAACCTTGGTGGTCATTTTTGTGTCTATTGTCCGGATGTACAGCTTCTAACTGCAGAATGGGATTTTGGGTCAATATCACATATTACATAGACATACATATGTATATGTGTGTGTGTGTATTTATATTTATAAATACAAATATATATATAGCATATTCCTTATAACCCTCCTCTTGTTTTCCTGGTTCTGTTTCAAATTTTAAG